GTGGATATCCATTGTTTCCAGCATCACTTGTTGAAAAGGGAATCTGCTTCCCACTTGATAGTTTTGGGGCCCTTGTCAAAGATCAGTTGTCTATATGCTGATGGTTTTATTCTTGGGTTTTCTATTCTTTTCCACTGCTCTGAGTGTCTGTCGTTTAGCTGCATTATCTTTTGTATTGTTCTCTTGTCTTCCCACTGGTTTAACTCTGCCCCGATTTTTATTATTTATTTTCTCTTGCTATTAGAGGGGTGGTTTTGCTGACTCTGTTCTAGTTGTTCGAGGTTTTGTGTTAGCATATCTGTCATACTCCTCTCTTTTTTCATATAGGCATTTAATGATATCAAGCTACCTCTGATAACAGCCTTCGCAGTGTCGCATAAGTTTGATATGTTGTATTCTCGTTCTGATTGGTTTCTAGAAACTTCCAGATAACCACTCTAATCTGGGCCTGTACCCATTCGTGTCGCAGGAGATCATTGTTCATCCTCCAATTGGCTGCCCTCGCTTTCCTGGACATCCTCTTATTAATCTCCAGCTTTATGGCATGGTGATCTGAGAAAGATGTCTGGATAATATCTATGTGTTTGAATTTACTCAGGCTGGACTTGTGTCCCAGCATGTGGTCTATTCTTGAAAAAGATCCATGTGGACTAAAAAAGAATGTGAAACCCTTTGCATTTGGATGGAAAGCTCTATAAATGTCTATCAGGCTCTATTGCCTAATTACATTGTTTAGCTCTATGGCGTCTTTGCTGAGCTTCTTTCCCAGTGATCTGTCCTTCTCTGCTAGTGGAGTGTTAAAGTCGCCTACTATGACTGTTGAGTCTGTGAGTGCCTCTTGCCTGCTTTGACCTAGTCTATCAGGGTACCCTTTGCAGCCCCCCTTTTTTGTTATTTAGTATTAAAAAAGAAAAAGTTAAAATTTTTAAAATATGAAAAAAAAATTTTTTAATTGGGGGGAGGAAAAAGAAAAAGAATGGAGAGGGAGAAGGAAGGAGAAGCTATAAAATAGGAAAGAAGAGAAGTGATAATAGTGAGAGTGGGAAAAGAAAAAAAAGAGATAGAATACCTATAGGAAAGGGGCAGAAGAGAACAGCAATAGTGAAAAAGGAGGAAGAAAGAAGGGAGTGAAAAAAGTACAGAAAGTAAAAGAAAAAAGAGGAAATCAGCACGAGATAAAAGATATATATACATATTTTTTTTAGATTCCCCCCCTTTTTTTCCCTCCAAGTTCTAGCGATGCCTAATAGAAGGCGGAGGTGGGCGAGACTGCCTAATAGAAGGCGGAGGTGGGCGAGGCCTCGCTGCCATGGGACGTGGTGCTGATCTGGGCTCCGGAGCAGGGCCATGTGAGGGGAAATTGCTCTTCAGATCAACAAGCTCTCTGAGGTCCCTGTTGGCCTATAGAGTGGGGTCTGGGGGCGGAGGCCACGCTGAGGGAGGCTGTGGGCAGCGCTAAACAGGTGGGCGATGCCCCACAGGGCTAGCCTCCTGCACTGCCCAGGAGAGACTGGGGCTGCAAGGGGTGTGGAGAGGCGTAGGCAGCAATGCCTGCCTCCTATGCCAGCTGCAGAGGGCTGGGGCAGTCTTGGAGCTGGTGCTGGGGATCGCACAGGGTACTGGAGAGATAAGCTCCGGCGGAGCACACAGACAGCTCCCGCAGGTGCTGGAGAGCTATTTCACAGGCTCCCCAGCAGGCACGTGGGTGTTTATCACTAGAGCCGCCGCCCCGCAGGCTCCTCAGCGATGAGCCAGGTTCCACGCTGGGTTGGACAGCGGTGGCTCTGGCGGGGAGCAGGCAGCAATGGTGTCCATGCTCCACCCTGCGGGGCGTGCGCCTCATGACAGGTTTAGATCGCTGGCCTTATGGAATCCCCCCACGCCCCGGGGCAGGCAAGAACCCCGCCGGCAGCAGTGCTCAGTGGGCAGGAGCCCCCACTGTTCCACGGCAGGTAGGTTCCGCGCTCCACCAGGCTTCTGACAGACACAGCGTTGCAGAGAGAAGCGGGCTTGGCGCAGGCAGGAAATGCACAGCTCCGCCTCCCTGTCCAGGAATGGAGTGGGAGCTGGGCCACGGGGGCGGGTGACCCACAAATGGGTCACTAGTGGAGAGGTCCCAGGCAGCAGTGGGGGTGGATGGTCCCCCATGAGGGTCGCCCAGTTAGCACCTGGTAGGTTGGAGGTCAGTTACCTGGGGCTTGGATGAAGGGACACGGGCTCAGGGCGAGATTGCTGCCATGTGGGGAGAGGGGACCCGCGGGAAGGAGAAGCTACTCTTCTAGTGGGGTCCCGTGAGTGGGCAACTGCTGTCTTTGGGGGTCCCGCCACAACTGTGTGTGTCTCTGCAGAGCAGGCAAGAGACTCTAGGCACCGGTTCCCAGTTTGGGGATGGAGTGGGGCTAGAGCGAGTCTAGGTTGTGATTGTGGGGGCTTAGGGACCCACGATGTCCCACGATTCGGGGCCTGGATCACCGAGGCCCCAGCTCAGGACAAATGTGTGGGATGGGGGTGGGATGTTAGCCCGGGGGATGTCTCACTCACCTACCTGGACACCTCAGAGTAAGTGGGTCCCCTGGTCCGCCATCTTCCCGGAAGTCATCAGGGATGTTTTTTAATTAGGAGAATGGGACTGGGACTCTTCTACAACTCACAAATGTGAAGGCCCCTCTCTCCACCCAGAATCCTGGCCTCCCAGGCTTCTTACTGATGAGTATAGAGAATTTGTCCACAATCGCTCTCTTCCTCATCCTCTGTTTCTCACAGAAATCCACAAGAGCAGTTCTACTCTGACCTATGACAAGGTCTCTATGAATCAGAATTGATTTGATGGCAGAGAATAGTACCGGGGATGTAGTAAGAATTCAATAAACTTATTGCCATCATACCAATTTTGACTCATAGCACACTTGTAGGACAGGGTAGAACTGCCACCCATGGGTTTCTGAGACTATAACTCTTTACCACAGTAGAAAGCCTCATCTTTCCCTCTCAGAGCTGGTGTTTCGAACTGCTGACATTGTGGTTAGTAACCCACTGCACCACCAGGGTTCCTCACAAGCATTTACTACTGATGGCGAATTTGGGAACTATAGGCTTGAGTGGGGACAACATATTTAAGAATCTCATCTCTGCTAGCACTCATTATCTTTGTGGTTGGACAACGGTCTCTTTTCTTATTAAGGCTGCCACGTTAAATCAATATAGCTTCTGTTGATGAGATGATAAATCAGTTTGGTTTTGTGAACCATGCTAAGTCCGAAATCATGAAATGTAGTCAACCTGGATTGCACACCTACAGAGAGATGGCATTCATTAACAAACCAATAGCTTTTATTCTTTGCTAGTCACCTAGGTAGCACTACACTGGATTTATCTATTTCATAGGATGTTTCTGAAAACAGAAAGAAACATCCAAACCACATCAACATTCTGAAGCACCGCTATCATTTCCCTTAACATGACAGCTTCAACTTGAAATAAGCTTTTTTAATACAGAATTGAAGGTAGCTTTTATTAACCTTGCTCCAAATGGTCAAGTGCCACGTTCAAAATTTCTTTTACCTATAGCATCCTATTGCCAATTACAAAATGAAAAATTTAACCAGCTACAAAAATCTATATCCTTAAAATTTTAGTTTTAGTGTCCAGAATTGAGAACTATAATAGAATCAAGAAATAACTTTAATTAAATACAGACAAGGATAAATCTGAGTTAGAATGTCTGTTCTGAAGGGTGGTAGTTTACTGTATTTCTGTTCCATCATACTTAATATTCATTCCCAATATTCATACCCAGTATTCGTTCTTGAATTCCCCATAAAATTGCTGGATCTGCCACTTATATGCCCAAATTGTAGGGTGGGGAGAGAAAGCCAGAGAGAAAAAGATTTCCTAAATATCGTGCTGACACCTCTACCACTCCTATCCTATTGACTTATCAGTTAGGCTGAGATGATTTCTCAGCTCAGAATTCTGTTATTATAGAATAAAAATACATATGGGTAGGGTATAGTCTCTAAAACAGGCTTTCACTTTTCATTTTTAAGTGTTCTGCAAGATCAGTTTTTATTTTTAATTTAATTCAAAAGCTATACATTTATGTTTATAAGAACTTCATAGTGGCAATATTTTCTTTTTTCCTATTTTTATACTATGGCTAGAAAGAATAGAAAATGTTTCAAGGTTGTTATAAGTTACTTCACACCTCTCTAACAGTTGTGCTAACAGTCCACCAATTAAATCCACAGAGTTCTTTTGCAGTATTAATTTCCTCTTATACTGGGTGAGATCCAAATAAAATTTTTCTCACATTTATTTTTATATCCTCCTTCACAAATAATCTAAATGTGTTAATACGAGATTAAAAAAAAGAGATTTCTTAATATTCATGACACTCATAGTGTGCCACTCACATGCAAAGTCTCTAAAACAACAAAATGACAATGATGCCTAGCATCTGTGATATACAGGCAGGCCCCAGGTTATGAATGTCTGATTTACATAAACATGTGGGTACAAACCAAACACTGTAACACCTAATATAGCAAACAAATAAAAGTTGAGAACCATAACTTGAGGTACATACAATGGTTCGTAATGACACATGTAACTTTGCAACTCACATCAGAATATTACAGTCAACACAATATTATGATAAATATATTTTACTTTTTCTAGAAGTGTTACGTTTTGTGCACTATATACTATATCAAATAGCTGACATTAAATATGAACCATATCTAACTGTTCCAGCTTATATACAAATTAGACATATAGACAGGAATGGGACTCATTCATCACCCAGGGGTTGTTTGTATTATGTTCAAGGCATTTTCTATGAGCTTTGAGTAATAACACACCTCACACTTCTAATAAACATAAGTCAGGGACTAATCGTAGGATAGTTTACAGGTGTTTAAACTGAAAAACCAAATTCGACCTCACTGCCAGTAAGTCAATTCTGACTCATAGGCACCTTGCAGGATAGAGTAGAACTGCTCCATTGGGTGTCAAAGTCTGAAATCTTTACCAAAGCAGAAAGCCACATCTTTCTCCATGGAGTGGATGGTTGGCTTTTGATCTAACAAGGTTTTAGTTAATGGCTGAATGCACTAACCATTGCATTGCCAGGGATCTTTGATTAGATCAGGCCAGAGATGAAGTATTATGATGTCACAAATGAAACCAGCCAGTAGAACCAGACCAAGCTCAAGCCCACTGTCATTGAGTGAATTCTGACTCATAGTGACCCTCTATAGGGTTTCCCAAACTAAATCTTTACAGGAACAGACATCCTTATCTTTACTCCAGTGAGTAGCTGATGGGTTTAAACTTCTAATATTGTGGGTTTACACCACCATGCTACCAGGGCTCCTTGATAAGTCTAAAGGATCTCCTAAATTTATGAATTATTAGAATTATTCTCCATTATAACATTTTAAAGATAAACAGGCTTTTGGATTTTTCATATTCCTTATTTCATGCAAAATCTCTGATGCTGAACTCTAAAATGCAAATATGCACTCATATTTACATTGAGAAGAGTCTTTAATAGCAAGTGAGTGACCACATATTTTCTACATAAACTACAATCCATATGTAAACCTATGAGCCATGATTAAAATTCATTTCACATTACTTATATTCAAAAGCTTTTTCACAGGTATGAACTCTCTGATGGTGAGTTAGTTGTGAACCACGAGTAAAAGTTTTCCCACACTTCTCGCATTGATATAGCTTTTCGCCAGTATGAATTCTCTGGTGTCGAGACAGATGAGATCTCTGAGTAAAGGCCTTTTGACATTCTTCGCATTCAAAAGGCTTCTCACCAGTGTGAATTCTCTGATGGAGAGTCAGTTGAGAGGCATGACTAAAAGCCTTCCCACACTCTTTGCAATTATAGGGCTTTTCTCCAGTGTGAATTCGTTGGTGTTGAGTAAGCTGTGAACGACGAACAAAGGCCTTTCCACATTCCTTACACTGGTATGGTTTCTCACCAGTATGGATTCTCTGATGTTGTACAAGGAGTAAGCCTCGAGCAAAGGCCTTGCCACAATTATCACAAACATAAGGTTTCTCGCCTGTATGAAGTCTTTGATGTTGGGAAAGATGTGAACTCTGAGTAAAAGCCATTTTACATTCTTTACACTTATAGGGCTTCTCACCGGTATGAATTCTCTGATGTTGGGTAAGCTGTGAGCTTCGAGTGAAAGACTTCCCACATTCTTTACATTCATAAGGTTTCTCACCAGTATGGATTCGCTCATGTTGAGTAAGTTCTGAAGCCCGATTAAAATTTTTTCCACATACATTACATTCGTAGGGTTTCTCACCAGTATGAATCCTCTTATGTCGAGTAAGAAGTGAGCCACGATTAAAGGCCTTCCCACATTCTTTACATTGGTAAGGTTTCTCACCAGTGTGAATTCTCTGATGTTGCGTAAGTTGTGAGCCATGACTAAAGGTTTTCCCACATTCCTTGCATTCAAAGGGCTTCTCAGTACTATGAACAATCATGTGTTGCCTAAGTTGTGAACCACGGAGAAAGGCCTTCCCACATTGCTCACATTGATAGGGTTTTTCACCAGTGTGAATCCTCTGGTGCTGCATAAGTAATGAGCCTCGAATAAAGGCCTTTCCACATTCCTTACACTCATATGGTTTTTCCCCTTTATGAATTTTCTGATGTTGAGAAAGCTGTGAGCCACAAATAAAAGCTTTCCCACATTCCTTACATTTATAGGGTCTCTCACCTGTATGAATTCTCTTATGGAGAACAAGTTGTGAGAGCTGAGTGAAGACCTTTGCACAGTCTTTACATTCATAAAGTTTTTCACCAGTATGAAGTCTCTGGTGCAGAGTAAGTTGTGAGTTCTGAGGGAAGGCCTTTCCACAGTCGTTACATTTATAAGGTTTCTCACCAGTATGAACTTTGTGATGACGGGAGAGTTGTGAGCTACGAGTAAAGGCTTTCCCACATTCTTCACATTTATATGGTTTTTCTCCAGTATGAATTCTATGATGCAAAATAAGTTGTGACCTCTGAGTAAAGGTTTTGCTACATTCCTTACACGCATATGGTTTTTCACCAGTATGGAGTCTCTGATGAAGACTGAGTTGAGAATCACGGCTGAAGGCCTTTCCACATTGCTTACATTCATAGGGTTTTTCACCAGTATGAATACTGTGATGTTGAGTAAGGTGTGAAGCTCGTTTAAAGGATTTTCCGCATTCCTTACATTTATAGGGTTTCTCAGTAAAACCTTGATTTTTACATTGGGGATGTTGAGATAAGTCAGTATGCTGGTTGCATATGGACATTTTTTCATATATTATCATCCCTTCCCTGAAATATTCTTGGTTTCTTTATGACCTCTGCAAAAAAACATTAATTTGCAAATCGTTTTTGGAAGTGAACCTGCCAAGATCACAGCTTTAAAGCTTTCCAGTCTTTCCTAGTCTGCTTCATAAATGTCCTTTTTAGAAGGTAAGTGCTTGCTTACACATCTTGAAGTCTGAAAGATAAAAGAAAATAATTCTGTCATTTCCGTAGAAATAGAATTTCCGACAATATGAAAATAATACCCATAATATACATAAGGTTTGCATCAAATTGTTTAAAATTTTTTTACTATGACCCATAGTAATATTTATTTCTCAGATAACCCAGTACATATCTATAGCTTTACAAAATATCAGCCCTGTTTTCTATATTTATTCTAGCCCTTTTCTCTTCTATATATACTTGATAGTTGTGGCAGTTACATAATCTCCTGTCAACTTGCAAAGGGATGGAGTCTAGCCTGTCAATCAGGTCATAGCCAATAATCCCTGTGTGGGCATGGCTTTCTCCTGAGGATTCTGGGAACTCCTGTTTTCATCCATGGAGGCAGGACACACACTCTCTGCTTCATCTTTCTGCTGACAAGCCACGCAGAGGTGTGCTGATGCAGTCAGAGCCCTGGAACTAGAGGAGTCACATGGAAACTCATGCCAGTGCTGAGATGCTTTCACCACCACTGGATCCATAAGACTTTCGACCCACTGGCCTGTTATCTTCCTGCATTCAGCATCATTGCATGGCTGCATGAGTGTAAAGAGGAATCTAGTATTGACATATGGGATAATAGCGGACTTATGGGCTTGATCTGAACTGGGATGGGATGTTTTCTTAATGTACAATTGCTGTTTGATATAAAGTTCTCTCTTACAAATGAGTGTCTCTGGATTTGTTTCTCTAGTCAATGCAGACTAACACAATAGTCAAAATACATCCAGTTGATTTCATGATCTAGTAATGTGTTGCCACCTACTTTGGAATAAAAAAGAAACTTAGAGAGATCTCATATAATAACATGTAAAAAGAACATATGAAAAAACAGAGAATTATAAAAGTTTATCTGAGAACTTACATGAAGAGATGAACAAAATGTTTTAAGTCCATGGTGGGGAATAAAATAACCTGGGGACCATGTTAAAATTAGATGCCCAAATAACATTCCAGGACTAATTGTATATGACTCTAATGATTAAACAAGAAAAGGAATATTTAAATTTCTAGTATTAATCGTGGAATTCTCCCAACTGATTTTGATCCAAATTTAGAGTGTCAACTTAAAAATGTTAAACATTTTCCAAATTACACTTGATAGATACAAACTCCGTTCCATGACTAAGACAAAGCCCTCTATTATCTGGACCCTGCTTATGTATCTGAAAGCCCTCATGAAACAGTCTTGGGTTTGCTCAAAGGGACTTTTCTAAATTAAGACTATCCAGATGGTATTCCTCTTTCAAATGTACCATTTAAAACTTTATTAAAACTGATTCTTATCTGTCAGGTATTAATTTTAAAAGTCAGAACATAAATATGAAATACCCACTTTTGATAACAGAAGACTAGGTAGTTTATACCAACTTTCCTGGTAAGAAGAATTACAGAAAATGGAAACAAATCCAAAAATCACCTGCCTAAAATTATTGGAAAATAATATTACAAAAAGAGTAAAATGAAAATTGACAACTTCAAGCTTTTCACCATTTATCATGATGTTGCTTATTAGTCTTCCAGCTGTGAGAGTTTTGGTTTTCTTTATGTTGAGGTGTGATTCATACCAGATGTTGTAGTTTTTGATATGCATCAGTAATTGCTTCAAGTCTTCTACACATTTAGCAAGCAAGGTTGTGTCCTTTGTATATCACAGATTGTTAATGAGTCTTCTTCCAATTCTGATGCTATTTTCTTCTTCATATAGTCCAGCTTCTTGCATTATTTGCTTAACATAGAGATTGAATAAGTACAGTGAAAGGATACAGTCCTGATGCACACCTTTTAAGCAATGTAGCAATCCCTTGCTATGTTTAAACAACTGCCTTTGGGGGTGGGGGGGTGGGTGTCTATGTACAGGTTCTGTAGGAGCACAATTAAGTGTTCTGAAATTCTCGTTTTGAAATGTTATCTACAATTTGCTGAGTCACATACTCGAATGCCTTTGCATAATCTATATAACAAGTAAAATCAAAGAGATGGAAAATAGGTCAGTAGTTTCCATAGACAGTGGATGTGGGCAGGGGGGGAAAAAAACAAAATATAGCGAGGGAATGTGGCAAGTAGAGAACTTTGTTATACTATGACTTTGTTAAAAGATACACTTGGTTTTTGTAACTCGTATTTTATTGGTTGTATTGAAATCTGGAAACATTATGAACAATTTATACACAATTCTTAATGCACACAATGAAATCCTCAAATGGCACGCAATTACAATTTTTTAAATTCCAGTGACTTTCCAGTTTTAAATTTGCAGGCAAGTTTTCCTTACGAGGATATCAAGAACTATTACCTTCAAATGCTGATAAGCTATTTAATTCACAACTTAATGTCACACACACTACACACTCAAATTTTCAACCTTTCATGGCACTTAACAAAATTATCAGGAAAACTGGACTACCATAACAAAAGAGTTACAGAATGCACACAGTTCTGACAAAAGAGCCATATAATCATGGCTCTCAAGAGAGAACAGTTTCCAGACACAATCCTACTTTAAAAAAAAATCAAAACAGAATTTTAAATGTTTAAGATATATAAATGTATGATAGTTACTCCAAATTGCCATTAAGTATGATTTGTATTAGGGACACAAAAACTACATGCCCCCACTCCCACCTCCATCTTACAGAATGTTACTTTGATACTCCAAACAAGCAAATAGTCCCACAAGTCAACATCCCATAATTTTCTGGTTGTACCAAAAAATAACAAGTAAATGACTTTAGATCTTTAAGAAAAACATTTACACTTAAAAAAAGTGGTGGTGGAAGGTGACGTGGGACTTCCTTCTTTACAACATCTCCTGAACTACTAAAACCTTGCATTTACAAAATAGTTGATAAAATATTCTTCTGGATTGTACAAGAAGGAGTTCATTCAGACTCACAGTGATGCCAGGGCCATACATCTTTACAGGAGCCTCATCTTTTTCTCCCAAAGAGAAGCTCATAGGTCTGTGGTTAGCAGTCCAATATCTCACTGACTGCACCCCCAGGGTGTCTTCTTTAAAAGTATACCCATGCTTAAAAGAAAGTAAATCATATCCAGAGAAGCCACAATAAAGTGGGAGCCAGAAACCAGAGACGTAAACACTCTTTGAAGGCATAGCTTGCTTAAGGGCATTTTTTTACTTCAATTCCCTAAATGATCTGATAGAATTCAGGAGACACAGCCTTGAAGCCATAAAAAGTACAGGGTCTGGAAGCAAACCTCTTCACAAAAATTGGAAATACCCTGCAGTTTAGAGGGCGTGCTAATAAATAAATAAACCAATCAATTCATCTAACCTCAACAGAAAATGAGAAGAATATCTCAAGCTTGGCATTTTAATAAATTGGACCTTCTCTGAGATACGGTGTCATTGGATAGCTGTAAGAAAGAGGATGATGAGACCTGACTTTAGTTTAAAATGAATTATTATGGCTTTTGTGCTAAAAATAATAAAATAAACAATAGCTATGAGAAGAGAAAGTATAAAAGTGAGGCGGCTATAAAAGTCTGGGAGGGTAGAGCAATCATTCACCTTTTTTTGGATTCTTGGTGTATCTTGCAGATACAGTGATGACGATTTTCTAATGGATGGGACTTCTAATGAGAAAAAAATTCCAGGTGTTTTCCCAGAGTACCTGGAAGAAAAAAGTGCCATTTACTGAGAACAATACTCTGGTAGTGCAGGTTTGGCAGAAAATAATAAGTATTTAGTTTAGAATTTTTTAAAGTCCTAGTAAAATGGTGAGTAAACAGGCATGTATACAAAGATGGGATGCTGGGGAAATATTTGAATTAGAGATATAAATTTGAGAGTCAGCATCAAATACATGATAATTAATGCTATTTGATTTGATGAGATCACCTCAAGGACTGTCTTTAGATAGTGAAGAGTAAAAAAGGGAAAGGGAAGTCTGAAAATTAAACCCTGGCATGCGTACTTCAACACGTAAAGGTTAGGGGAGATGAGCAGGAACCAGCAAGGGAAACTAAGATAAAATAGCAGAGAGAAAGGAGAAAAATTAGGAGTGTGTAGACATCAGAAGTCACTGTGGGGGGAAAAAAAAGTTTTAAGGAGAAAAAAAAGTTTTAAGGAAGGATGTTCAACTATGTCAAGTTCTGACACATGAAGCACAATAAATTTCATGAAGGTTTTATTTTAACAATATAAGCTCACTGGCGCTTTTCATAAAAATAGCTTTGGTGAAGAAGTAGGTTTAAATCCTGATTAAAATAGATGAGCGTAAACAGAGTAGAAAGAACATAAAAAATTATCTTGATGAATTTTGCTGTAAAAAGTAGCAGAGAAATGGGGCTAGATCTAGAAGGGAATGTGAATGTAAAGTGATTTTGTTTTTATTTTTAAGATAGGAGAAATTACCAATTGTTTATATGCAAATGCATATAAACAATTATAACAAAAGGACAAGGTGAGACAAGACACTAACTGATCGGTGTTTTTAAAAAGATGAGAAGAGATGACATTTAAAATACAATAAATGACATAAAATTTTGATTTGTACAGAAAAAAAACAGACTGGGAACAGACCCGAAACATTAGAAAGGAGAGGGAATGAAAGAATTTAAATACAAAGGAATTAAAACATTATTTATGAGAAAAACATATATACAGCTCATAATTATAAATATTTTAAAAATTGATACAATTTTTCCTAATTTATTAGAAAATTACAAAACTACATAAGAATTTGAATTTCAGTTCAAAGTCTATATTCTCCAAAGGCAATACATCCTGCTGGCATAACTGATAAGATGATCTGAATCATGAATGAATACCTAATACCACATATACCTAGTTGGTCAAATATCAAAATTGGATAGAGAACTCAAGAAAGTCAAGCCAGTCTTTTGAACAAACATGAGTAAAAATATAATATAGTAGTGATATATAATTTATGTGTATTTAAAGACTGATACATCATGATCAAATATCATTTACTCCATAAATCT